TGCTCGGAAAAAAGCGCAATGAAATAACTGTGGGGCAATTTGTTTATCCTGGCATAAAACACGGACTTCAGAATATAATTGATCCCACTATTTTTACTGAAGACAAGATATCTGTCTTTGCACACATTGACGGAATGCAAGTGTTCAAAAATTAATCTAAAGAAATCTGGCCAATTTCCATAAACGTACACCATGAGAACTATATTAAAAAGCCGTTTGCTGCCGGAATTTATTGTGGCGATGGAAAACCTGCATCTGTTAATGATTTCCTCGATGATTTCGTCGCAGAAGTGAATAGTTTCATCGATAATGGCCTGGAATTGCATGGAAAACTATATCGTTTCGAGCTCCTCGGTATCATTGCTGACTCTCCAGCGAGAGCATTCATCAAGTGCTGCAAGCCATCAGGTTCGTTCTTTGCTTGTGAGAGGTGTGCTGTCAGAGGAGAAACCTTGGCACAGAAGCGAGTATACGCTGAAATCGACTGTGCAAAACGCACAAGAGAATCATTCGAAAGACAGTCTCAGCCTCAACACCACCTGGAGAACGCAATTTCGCCATTGACTAGAATAAAAAATTTTGACCCTGTCGGCTCTACGATTTTAGAGATCATGCACTTGTTCTATTTGGGAGGGATGAAGTGGCTATTAGAGAAATGGATTCTTAGGAAGGCCAATCCTGCAAAGCTCAAATTAATAGAGGTAAAAAAATTAACGAAAATAATGGCTATGTTGAAATCCGACATCCCTTCTGATTTTCAACGAAATGAGTTTGACGTCAATCAAGTCTCCAGATGGAAGGCCACGCAATATAGATTTATGTTAAATTATTGCGGAGCGGTAGTCCTTAGAAGAATTCTATCGCCTGTATTCTATGAGCATTTCCTCCTCCTAGTTGTTGCGAGTCGTATTTTGAACAGTAAAGACCTTGTGAGGACTCATAGTGATTATGCTGAGAATCTTCTCATCAAGTTCTTTACACTATTGGAACTCTATGGCCCACACTGTAAAGTCCTTAGCTGGCACAACTTTATTCATGTTGCTGATGACGCCAAAAAATTTAAAATCCCTCTTGAGGATCTTTCGGGTTTTTGGGGTGAAAATTTTATTGGAATTTTCAAAAATCTGGTCAAATCTCATAGTAAACCCCTAACACAGATCATTAATCGCTTGGATGAACAGCAGACTGGA